GTTGGGGGTGGTACAGAAACGCGGGCATTCCGATCGTCGTGGCGACCCTGCTTGTTGACGTGTTCGCAGGAGCGATCGTCTACCCTCTGTCTTCGGAATACGTGGTGCACGCGTTCGTGTTCGCCGCCGCGATCTCCAGGTACGCATCGCTCTCCGACGTGTGGGAGGCGGCGTCTCTTGCCAGCGTAGCGATCGCCACCGTCGACCTCGTCAGAAACATGCTCGTCTACAAACTCGGACCGTGCGCCTTCGACGGTCGGGACGTGATGGAGTGCGATACGTCCTTGGGCGACTGCTACGAAAACCTTCTGGACCTCAGCGCCAACAGCATCGACGCCGCCGACTGTCCGATCAACAAGGTCGGACGACACTGGGCGATCGTTCTCACCGCCTCGCAGGCCGTCAGGTTCTGCGTCGTGGTCGTTCTCCAGAGTTTCCTGCTTTCGCGGAAAGGAGTCAGGTTGTTGCGATCCGGCGACAAACGAGGCGAGAAGGACGAAGCCAACGACGACGACGACGACGATTCGAGCGACAAGGACCTGGACGTCATTTTTCAAAGAGGACGTAACGTGTGACGTGATGTAATTTTACCTTTATTTTTATTTTTATTTTTTGATTGTTTTTCTTCAGTCGGATGCTCCTTATACTAAAAGGATCAAGTTCGACGACGAACACGACGACGACGCAAGCACCTCCCAAACTGTTGGCGTCGGCGACGAACGAAGAGAAGCTGAGACCGCAGACAGCAAAGGAAACCTAACGGAATCCTTTGCCGAGGACTCTCAACTTCCCGTCGACGACGAACGAACAGCTGGAGAGGGAAACCTCGCCGACTATTTTCTGGAGGATTCTCAGCTTCCAGTCGAATCGTCGGACGAACAGGACATTTCCGACCAAGACACGGTCGTTTACGGAGACGAAGAACTGGAACAGCAACTGGACGACTGGCTGTTCTCGAAAATTTTGAAGTACAACCCGTCTTCGGAATAGAATTTAAAAAAAAAATGTTCCGATATATTAAGTACTAAAGAAAACAGAAAAACACGAAATCTTATGTTCTGTTTTGTCTTCAATAAAATCTTTATTACAAAAAAACAATATAAAGTTGTTATTGTGCATATTTGTTTTCATTCAAAATCAGTCTATTATCAGTAGGTAATGGAAAAGGCAATTATGAAGAGAACCGCTACCTTTCCAAAATTTGAAGACGAGGAAGACAGGGTGAAAACCTTTCGCAACTGGCCGCACGACAGACCCGACGGAAGGTCGATGTCGGAAGCGGGGTTCTTCTACGAGGGTTTCGAAGATAACGCCAGGTGTTTCTTCTGCGGAGTATCGCTGTGCCGATGGGAGCCGGACGACCTTCCTCTTTCTGAACACGCCGAACACGGGAGTTCATGCTTGTGGTTGCGGCGAAAGACGAAGGAAACCCTGATTTCCAAGATTAATTTTGCCTCCGAATTCGGATTTGACAGCGACGTGATCGCAAAGGTCGTGAGCGATCATCTCGAGAAGAAAGGACAAGTGTTCTCGTTGACAAACGAAGTTCTGGTCTCGAGCATAATCGACTTCGATGAAAATGGGGCCGACGACAGGAAAAAAGACGGGGTCGCAGATCCGTCGAAACACGAGGGCTTGGTGTCTCTGATCGCCGAACTTCGCTTGGAAGAAGATGCCGAAGATTAACGTCCGGAACCAAAAGAAGAGGAAGAAGGAGTTCGTGCGCCCGTCGAAAGCTATACGAACAAGGTACGCGTCGGCGACGACGACGACGACGACAACGACGAGAAATCTCGCGGAGATCTATTGAGGGAACTTACCGATCTCAAGGACGAGATGTCGTGCAAGGTGTGCATGGATCGCGATTCGAACGTCCTCCTGACTCCGTGCAACCATCTCGTCTGCTGCGACTCGTGTTCCGTCAGGTTAGCGTCGTGTCCGATCTGTCGTACAAAAGTCGGTGAGGTCGTCAAAGTTTACCACAGTTAGGTTTAGGTCATGGAAACAATGGCCGAAGCGACGAGAATCATGAGAGTGTTTGCAAAAGCGATAAAAGAAGCCGAGTTGCACGGCGATAAGGTAAACCGATTTTTTTTCGACGAGTACCAACACGTCATCGACCCGACCGTCAGCGACGAGGAGTGGGAAAC